TCTGTACTCCGCCGGCGCCACTGTCTACATCGCCGCCCGTAATGAACAAAAAGCCCAGGCCACCATCCAAGCCCTCACAGCAGAAGACCCCACTGCTTCCGGCAAACTGATCTTTCTGCCCCTTGATCTCTCGGATCTCACCACCATCAGTCCTTTTGTGACCCAATTTCTCGAGCGTGAATCACGCCTCGACCTTCTCTTCAACAACGCCGGTGTCGCATTGCAGCCCCTGACGCAGCGCACCGCCCAGAACCTCGAGCCGCAGCTCGGTATCAACTGTGCGGCGCCCTATCTCCTCACCACTCTGCTGTCAGATGTCCTCACCCGCACCGCCGCCCATGCACCCCCGGATAGCGTGCGGGTGATCTGGTCGAGCAGCATGATCGTCGAAACCCTGGCGCCGCGCGGCGGCGTGCCCGCCAAGGAACTCGATCACCCTTCAAGCAACGTGTACCGCAACTACGCGATCAGCAAAACGGGCAACTGGTTCCTGGCGGATCGGTTTGCCAAGAAGTTCGCTGCTGCAGCCGGCAAAGAAGAAAAGGCCGTGGTTAGCGTCACGGTCAACCCGGCCAACGCGTACACCGGCATTTATGACGACGCGCCCAAGCTGGTGGTGTGGATGTGCAAGCCCATCTTCTACACGGCCCGGGAGGGGGCCAACTCGCTGCTGTGGGCGGGTTGTAGTTCAGAGGTCACGGCTGCGGATAGCGGCAGGTATGTTATTCCGTTTGGCCGGTGGCATCCCTGTCCCCGGGGGGATCTGGTTGAGGAAATGAACAAGGGCGATGAGGGCAATGCGGTAGGATTGGAGAAGTGGTGTGAGCGTGTAACAGCAGATTTTCGGTAATCTTTTTTGCTATGATTGATACCCTCAGGTAACGTAACCGGCAAGCGAGTCGGCCAGGCAAGCCAGTCGGCCACCTGTGTATCCCATACTAATCTGATATTTATCTAACTCTAATATCTCACCCACTGTAAGTTCAATTACAATAGAATATTAACTGAAGCTATATATATATACTTTAAGAAACCAAATATCAAAAATATATAATATGAATCCTATCATAATATATATAATACAAGTTTGAAATAAATTACCAAAAAATACAGCGTAATATATTTTACTTGATTAAATATTGATATTTATCTTATAATATTTGTATAGTAATCTTAGATATATTCTAGTATGCCAGTTTCATTAGATAAATTTAAATATATAAAGTTTGGCTGTAGTATTACAGCTCAAAAATTGCTGGATTAGTATGGGATATACAGGTGGCCGACTGGCTTGCCTGGCCGACTCGCTTGCCGGTTACGTTACATCCCTGGAGAAGGTGGATAACCATCCTTGTAGGGGCTTACTTCTTTACACCTTGGCTTCTTTCTTCTCATTTTATTAATGAATGTCATCTTTCGAATTATCTTTCTGGCTATTGCTGTACTCAACTCTCATAGTAGTCTGGTAAGTCACTTGATACGACTTAGGATGACTGAGGTCTCACATCACCAGCACTTGATATATAATTCAGTACTAGTATTAACCTGCGCTGGAAGCCAGCTGTCCGCCGACCACATCGTCTGAAACCATAGCACCATGTTTTGTATTTATACCATTAGTGAGAAGGCTTATTATGGGTCAAGATAGATGGAGATACACATACTACTACTATCAATCGTTACGAAATAGTTAGCAGGCCCAAGCTTTGCCGGGTTATTACTTCAATCACCAGACGGCGAAAACCCTTTGCCTACCTGGTCTTTACTCTAAGGAATATTTAGCATACTACAAAACAAACCTTCACCGAACTAGCCCGGCTAGCTCAATCGGTAGAGCGTGAGACTCTTAATCTCAAGGCTGCGGGTTCGAGCCCCGCGTTGGGCTGTTCAACTTCCTCTTTCCCTTTGCCCGGCTAGCTCAATCGGTAGAGCGTGAGACTCTTAATCTCAAGGCTGCGGGTTCGAGCCCCGCGTTGGGCTTTCTTTTTTTACCAATTTATTTCTTTCTTCATTATCCTGATCATATGGATATGCTCGGTTAGATATCGCATTACATACAGTCCAGTCTGAGTGGGCCAAGGCGTGCATGCAGTCCAGGAAGCCAGTTTGTTGGTGGCGGGGCCCGACAATATCATGTATCATATGTGAGAAGAACCCCCGCGCGCCAGCTCATCTTATCCGAATATCGCAGAAATGAATGTTCCATGTGGAGTTCAGAGGCATTGATAGCGGTCTGCACATGTCATGATTAGCTTTGACTGATGCATAATATCGAATGTAGGCTAAATCTTGTTGTCCCTTGATAACTCTATCACTGGCAAGCCTTCTTGCGAGAGCGGTTATCTGTTTTTCATCTCTTGACCTGATGTCGATCCCTAGCCCTCTCTGCTATTCAGCACGCGCTCTGGATTGACAACTTATATACATACTAGTATAAAAGGCCTTAACTCCCAGGCACTACACCGAACCCGATCGTCTTTACGGATACTCCCTCACCACCTTGATCTGAACCCGATTCTTTCCGCGCTCCGTCTGCCCAAGGAATTTATCCCGGGTCACCTCGATATTCTCCTCCGTCGTGTTGTGCAGTCTCATCTCGAATCTTCGCAGGAGTGTCCCGAGCACCAAATACAGCCATGCCCAGGTCATACTACCCTCAGTTAGCGTCGGTCTGCACTAGTAGGTATTCTTCGTGTCTCAAACTTACTTCGGACCCAGACATGCCAAGGTCCCCCTGGAAAATGGGACGAGGTACCGCTCCAACTTTTGTAAGTCTTCTGGCTCCAAGAGCCAACGCTCAGGGATGAATCGCAGTGGATCGGGAAAGATTTTAGGATCACGGTGGATGAAGAAAGCGGTCATGCTTACGGGAACCTGCGCGCTCGTTAGCCCAACATTCGGCTGCTGGAGAAGAGATCTAGACTTACCCCGCGTGGAATCTCATATCCATGAAATTGCAAGATTTCATCCGGTGCGACACGTGGCAGACGTGTGCTGACGATGGGGCCCAATCGAAGTCCCTCCTTCAACACGGCAGTCTGATGCAGGGTTAGTAGCCATTTCTCTCTGAGGTCCTTGGTCGAACAAGAGAATCATACGAAATAAGGTAGCTTTTCCAATGCTATAAGCTCTAGATCCATGGAAGCATCTGGCCAAAAAGCACACAGTTCAGCGCGAAGCTTTCCGTGCACCTCTGGGTCCCGCAATAGGAAATATAAAGTCATGACCAAGGCCCTTCCTGGCGCATCGGTCCCGGTCAGAACCAGGAGATTCGCATCATCAGCCAGGCGGGAGAACCTTTTCTCGTCTTCAGGTACCCTATCATTCTCTAGAATCGCAGGATAAACCGGCATAGGCTTCTCACTGCTTCCCTTACCACGTTCCTGTATGGCCTTGCGAACCATGTTTTGAACTTCCTGTTACATCCAATTAGCTGTAAGATTCCAAATGTAGACGCGAAACCTTCTTACTCTTTCCTGTGTCAAGGATTCAACGAAGTCAGCATTCAAGAGTTTTGCCGGCCAAGGGAAGACATGTGCCAGCTTGCAAATCCAGGGAAAATGTCTTGCCGTCTGAACAAGCTCAAACGTACAAACCATCTTCGTTTTGGAAGCCGTACTCAGCTCTGCTTGATCCAGAGTGCGAAAGCCGTTTTGTTTCCCAAACGCATACTGCGATATGGTATCACTCGTAAAACACAGGAATGCGGTATGGAGCTCTAAGCTATAGTTTCCCCTCTGCGCATGGCGAAAATGGCTACATAAAGCCCGGATGTTGTTCTGAATCAGCGGCTCCACATCCAGAATCGCCTGCCTTTTGAAAAACTGCGCCAACACACTCCGTCGAGCGCGATGTAACGCGTGTCCATTTGTCGAGAATATTGAGGTAGGCCATCCGACGAAAGTAAACCAGCTGTCCTTGTTCCGCTTCCGCGTCACTCCCGCATACAGTGTGTTGTAGTTGTCCGGGTCATTCACATGTATCTCCCACGGCTTGATGCGCACCACCGGACCATATTTCTGATGCAGGCGCTCGATGTGCCAAACGAATTGACCATCACGAATCACATCATAGTAAAATTCATAGAGTCCCGTCGCAGCAGCCAACCGAGGACCAGGGAACTTAGCCAGGGGGCTGAGGTAGAGTCGATAGAGAACAAGCCCAACAATGAAGATTACCATGAAGGGTGCTAATAAGCATACATACATCCCTATCGTAAGCCCTATGTCCACGATGTCTTGCCACTCCAGCGACGGCAACCGCCGTGAGATATCCATGATGTTGGCGACGGGTCTTTCAATTGTTGAATACCTATGGGCCTAGTCGAAGGGACGGATAAAAGGACAAGAGCTCTTCCGAGAATTGCTGTCTATCCCTTGAAGAAAGCAATCATCCCTTGAAAATAGCAAATAAACCCCCTCCCCCCAAAAAAAGCGGTGTGGTTATCTCAAAGAATGGGCCGTCATCCCACGGGTGGCGCAGCGGAATTCATTTTGAATTGTGTAAGGGGTGGTTGACATCTATCTACCCATCGCCGATCGATGGCTCCCCCGTGCCTCTTGATTCTGAGCCCCATAGCTTGAGGAGGGGCTGGGGGAACTCCTTGGTATGATGGCAAAAAAGACAAGCAAGTGATTGTGTCTCAAGTCAATCTTAATGCGAAAGAAAGACAGGAAAACATAATTAGGGTCCGTACACTCGCATTCCCCCTCCCTCCCCACAACTATGAACACAGTACCTCGGTCGGAACGCAACAAATTAGGAAGGCGCATTGAACTTGGCCGGGGTACCCAACCATCTTTCAGATGCATGCAGTATCTGACACTATGCGGGGGATGTACGGCATAGGAAGTAAGTTTTTCGTTAAAAGAGCGGTGATGGGTTGACAGGCCTTGCATGTGCTTGCTACACAGCGGGTTTTCAACTCTGCAAGCATATAACGGCTGTACGTGGACCGATCAAGATGCACATGCCAGCGAGTATCCCATAATTTTGTGAGCAGAAAAGCTACTTATATAGCCTCTTCATCCCTCATCGAAAACCTGTCAGAAGAGTCGGATTATCCTACGGCCCCAAAATCACCTTCTTCTTCACTTTGAGAGATGTCGTCCAGCGATACTGCTAGTAATTCCCCGGGATGGACAACCGTCGATCCCGATGAATTTCAAAAACATTCAGAAACTCAATGGACCCACGATGCTCCACCTCTCATTGCTATAGTCGGAATGGCCACACGTCTGCCCGGCGGTATCTCCTCCCCCCAAGATTTCTGGCAATTCATGATTGACAAGAAATGCGCATCTGCTCCGGTCCCTGCGGGAAGATACAACGTGGACGCTTTCCACGGGACTCCTGGCGTGGACACACAATCGGTCATCGCCAAACAGGGATATTTCCTTGAGGGAGACTACCTGGGGAAAGTTGATACCTCCTTCTTCCACAACAATCGGTACGAGCATGGGTTTATAGATCCTCAGCAGGTGCTTCTATCGGAAGTGGTTTGGGAGTGCATGGAGAACGGAGGACAGGTCGATTGGCAAGGTAAAGATATTGGGTGTTTTGTAGGCACCTTTGGGGAAGACTGGCTGGATCTTACAGCGAAGGACACCCAGAACCTGAGCCCCCTTCACATCGTGGGTACGGGCGACTATGCCGCATCCAACAGGGTATCGTTCGAATATGACCTCAAGGGCCCATGCATGACTTGTCGAACTGCATGCTCATCCTCACTTGTGGCTCTCCACGAAGCATGCCAGGCAATTGCCCTTGGTGATTGCCCTTCAGCGATCGTCGGAGGCTCCAGCCTGATTTTTACTCCGACAATGACTACCAACATGTCACAGGCGGGGGCACTCTCCCCTGATGGGATCTGCAAAACATTTGACGCGGAAGCTAACGGATACGCCAGAGCGGAAGGAGTTTGCGTTTTGTATATCAAAAAGCTAGAAGATGCCATCCGCGACAAAGACCCAGTCCGTGCGGTCATTCGAGCAGTTGCAACTAACTTCGACGGTCGGACAAATCATATCACGGTCCCATCATCGGCCGGACAAGAGGCGCTGATACGGAAGGCCTACCGAAAAGCCCATCTCGAAAACCTTGCAGAGACCGCATTTGTCGAATGTCACGGCACAGCCACGCGGGTGGGCGATGTCGTTGAAACCACCGCCGTCGCCAATGCCTTCGGGCGCCATCCCATGATTATTGGAGGTGTAAGTTGGTAGCGGACTTGTAAATGTCTAATTGCTAACGTATTCGCTGGTAGGTGAAATCAAACATTGGTCACACTGAGGGCGCAGCAGGTCTGGCTGGCTTGATTAAAGCAGTTCTTGCTCTTGAGCACAAACAGATCCCTCCGAACGTCAACTTTTCAACACCAAACCCAAAGAGTACGATTCCAAACTTAAGCCGCACTGTATAATTGCTTACCCACAGTAGTTTTGTTCGATGAGGCAGGATTGGCAGTACCTGTTGATGTTCTTCCTTGGCCAACTGACCGCAAAGAACGTGTCAGTGTCAACTGCTTCGGGGTCGGCGGTACCAATGCCCATGTAGGTCCCCCTAGGCACTCGAAAGAATTCACAGGCTCACCAGAAAGGTCATTGTGGATTCAGCCGCATCGTTGATGCCCCAAAAGGCAATAGCGGCATTGGAAACAAAGAACAACAGCCCGCGGCTCTTGCCGTTGTCAGCTAGTGGCCCCAAGTCCCTTGATCAGCGGGCGATAGACATAAAGAAATATCTCTCCCGCCATCACGAGGCAGTGCACGATTTGGCTTATACCCTCTGTGAAAAGCGAGAACATCTTCGTCACAGGGCATTCGCAGTCATCGGTGGAGAGGTTCCTCTTGAGTCTATTGAATTTGTCAAAGCGGATAACACCAGAAATGGGCCAAAGAACGTGACATTTGCATTTCCTGGCCAGGGAGCTCAGTGGGCGGGAATGGGAAGCGAATTGATGGAAAGATTTGCATCCTTTAGGAAGGACATAGAATACATGGATGGGGTACTGCAAAGTCTGCCCAATGCACCCATGTGGAGGATGCACGGTATGGTGCCCTCTACTCTAAATATCGTGTTGCGATTCCACTGACAATTGCGGGTGCCATCTTGAAGAGGAGCTGATCAAAACGGGCCCGGAGAGTGACATTAACCGGCCCGATATAGCACAACCTCTGTGTACCGCCATTCAGATTAGTTTGGTCAATCTTCTCAAAGTATGGGGATTCACTCCGGACAAAGTCATCGGTCATTCCAGTGGCGAGTTTGCTGCGGCTTACGCAGCCAACGCCTTGTCCATGGATACGGCAATTATATTGGCCTATACTCGCGGAATTGTGGCCAACATGGCTCCAGAGGGAGGCATGCTCGCAGTAGGTGTTGGCAGAGACAGTATCGGTCAATATCTGGGTGATGAAGTGGCATTGGCGTGCGAGAACAGTCCAAATAGCGTTACCCTCGCTGGAAAACGCGACCAGCTGGAACAGGTAGCAACTCGAATCCAAACCGAACAACCTGACACCCTACTGAAGATGCTGCCGGTTGAACGAGCGTACCACTCTGGTAGGTTTTTCGGGATTAGTTTTAGATGCAGTCAGCTCCCATGCTAACCAGTTTGCAGCATACATGGCTTCAGTGGGTGGCAAATATGAAGAGCTTACCCGACCGCACCTAGTCAACCCTCGAGATACAATGACTCCAATGTACTCAACGGTATCTGGATACCTACTAGCAAGCCCTAGTGAGCTTGACGCGGCGTATTGGCGCCGAAGCTTGGAATCACCTGTCCTGTTCTCAACCGCTTTCCGGGCTTTGGCCTCATCCACACATGACAATCATCAGGTTGTGATAGAGATCGGATCGAACTCAGCACTTAGAGGGCCAATCCAGCAAATACTCCGTTCAAACAGCATGAGCTTCACGTACTGTGCGACCATGAGAAGCAATGAAAGTAACCTTTCTCGCGTCCTCTCTGTCGCTGGCACAGCTTATGTCAACCATTTACCCGTCGACCTCATCGCTGTCAATGAAGGCTATCAAGGCGAAACTCTCACCGACCTTCCTCCCTACCCATGGCAGCGCGAAGATATCCCCTGGGCAGAAACTCGAATTAGTAAACAGTGGCGCTTGCGCCAATTTCCACGCCATGAACTCCTCGGGGCGCGATGCTTGGAATCCAATGACTTCGAGCCTGCATGGCGGAATATTCTCAAGGGTGAGGAGGTCCCGTGGATCAATCACCATCGCATGATGGGAATTATTGTTTTTCCAGCCGTTGGATACATAGCATTGGCATCGGAAGCTATACGTCAGATAACAGGCTCAAGTATCTCTACACTAGAGCAAGTTATGTTCATGGAGGCCCTGGTCCGAGACGAAGAGGACATTGAAATCATGACGACAATGCGGAAGACCACAATGAATGCAACTATGGACTCTGACTGGTATGAGTTCACGGTTTGTTCCTATAACGGTCAAGGATGGACCAAGCATTGCTCCGGGAGGGTGAGGGGAGGCACGGACCAGCCCCTTCCATCAAACATAATTCCTGAGCCATTCGCTCGACAGATTTCGTCGTACAGATGGTATCGCAGGTGTGAGAAAAAGGGACTCGAATATGGCTCCCGTTTTGAAGGTCTGCAAGATATCACCGCCAGTCCACTAAGGAATGCAGCCCGTGGGCGAGTGGAGGATGACCGCGAGCTCCACGACAGTTACTACGCAATACATCCAACGATCGTGGACCAATGCCTTCAAGTAATGTTGATTGCCAGTGACAAAGGCGTCTCGCACTATCCTGACAAGGCAGGCGTGCCGTTGTACATCGATCGGGTTTACCTGGCCCCAGGAAGCAGCTCGATGCTAGTCGAGGCGACGACGACTGATCCGACAAAAGAGAGCCTGAGTGGATATTTCAAGGTGGTATCTGAGGCAACTAGTGACGTGGTCTTGGAGATGAAGGGTCTGCGCTTATTGTCTACACCAGAAGCTGTATTGGAATCGAAAGGATCAAAGCTTGCAACTCATCTCCAGTGGAAACCGGACATTAGGTTTATGCCGGCGACCCAACAAGTACCAACACCTGTGGGCCTAGATCAACAGAAAACCCAGACATTGGCTATAGCGGGGATCCTTCTCGTATTTGCAATGATCGAGGCTCTGGAGCCTCATGACGAGCTACCTCCGTACATGGCGAGCTATAGAAAACTCAGTATCGGCATAGGCAGGACGATACTCCAAGGGGAGTATGACCATATCCCTGGTATTGGAACGGTGAAAAGCATGGACAGGGAGCAGCGGACCGTTTTGTTCAGATCCTTGCAAGGACAGTTCCCCGAACACAGGGTTGAACGATGCTATAATGATGCCTGGCGGTATGCGAGTGAGCATCCGGAAAAATTGATAAGTGGGGGGATCTATGAAGATACCTCCCTCATAGAGACCATCAAGGGCATTGTCGAGTGGAGCCTTGAACTATACAATTGGAAAGGTTTCCTGGGTCCACTAGCTCATGCGAATCCTGGTCTACGTGTCCTTGAAGTTGGAGCTGGGGCAGGTTCAGCAACAGTGAATATCTTGGAAGCATTGACCACTGAACACGGTGATCGTCTGTTTAGTCAATACACAGTCACCGATACTGTACCTGCGCTTGTGAAACAACTGGAAGAGCGTTTTGAAGGCGTGCCAAAGCTGGAGTTTAAAAGACTGGATATTACGAAGAGTGCAACAGATCAGGACTTCACAGAGGAGAGTTACGATTTAGTGGTTGTGTGCAATGTCCTATATGAAACCCCTATCCTCGGTCAGTCATTGGCGCACATCCGATCCTTACTTGCGCCTGGAGGGCGGTTGCTCTTGTACGAGCCTTGCTCAGAGCTTCCACATTTTGATATTGTCATGGGACTTCTTCCGAATTGGTGGTTAGGCATGGGCGACAATCAGGTTGATAAGCCTCACGTTTCTGTGGAGCGTTGGGAGCAGGAATTAGTCCAGGCAGGATTTTCTGGCCTTGATGGGTTCCATTACAATGCACCTGCACCATTTTACTGGCAGGTCTTGATGCTATCAACAAATCCAGCGGTCAATACCCCGCGAGAATCCATGAACCTACTCTGCACTGCAGAGACAAGATACCAGGCATGGATACAGAGCCTGGCGGGCTGCCTATCCTCCGACGGCTATGATGTACATTGGTGTACCTTTGAAGAAGATCTCCCGACCGAAAACGTCATTGCAGTACTCGACTTTGACAGGCCATTCTTATATGACATATCCCAAGCTACTTACACTAAAATTCAGAGCTGGTTGGCCTCGGTGAAACGTCTCCTCTGGGTGACGCATTCAATGCAGATTGAATGCAAGGATCCCCGATACTGTCTGATCCTGGGGCTCACTCGCACATTGCGGTGTGAACTGAATGTCGACGTTGGCACTTGTGAGATTGACTTGTTTAACGAGGCTGCTCATCCGGTGGTAATGCAAGCGTACAGACAGCTCGGTACACCGATCGGAGGACAGACGATTCGCGATTTCGAATTCATTCTGCATCGGGGTGTAGGCCACACTGGTCGTGCGGCCATCACCAAGGTTACAAATCATCTCCATTCCACAGACCTGCAAAAATCTTATCAATTAGACATTCAAACTATCGGTGACTTCAGCTCACTTGGGTGGAGACCCATTTCTCTGGAGGAAGTCGGTCCACACGACGTCGAAGTCAAGGCCAGCTATTTGGCGCTCAACTTCAAAGATCTGATGATGGCTTTGGGCATCGTGGAGCGAACGAAGACAATGGATTTTTGTTTTGAGGGGAGTGGTATTGTCACTCGCGTGGGATCGGAGGTGACAACAGTACAAGTCGGCGATTCAGTGGCCTTTTTTCATCCCCAGCCGATGAGAAGCCTGGCAATCTTGCCAGCTGATAGGGTGGCCCACCTTCCCAAGGGTGTCTCGCTAGCAGAAGCCGCAGTTATTCCCAGTGCTTATTCAACCGCTATATGCACACTGTTAGGTACTGGGAAATTGCAAAGAGGCCAGTCCGTTCTGGTTCATTCCGCGTGTGGTGCAGTCGGACTGGCAGCAGTACATATCTGCCAGAGCGTCGGTGCTGAGGTATGTAAAACCATCCAGCCCCGATAAACAGTGCTCTCATAACCAGAGAACCAGGTATTTGCCTCAGTCGGTAGCGATGAAAAGGTCGAGTATTTGATGAAGACGTTCGGAATTCCACGCTCGCACATTTTCGATTCACATAGTGCTTCATTCCTCTCCGGCGTCATGAGGGAGACTAATGGAAGAGGCGTCGATCTGGTGCTCAATTCACTAGCGGGAGAGCTTCTCCGGGCGTCTTGGAAATGCGTGGCGCCTTTTGGAAAACTGCTGGAGATCGGAAAAAGAGACATCCTGGGTCATGGCATGCTTGATCTGAATGGGTTTCGGGAATGTCGGTCATTCTGCGGCTTTGACTTGTATAGTATAGCCTATGATGTTTTCGACATAGGGAGGTGGTATGTCATGCGTGTCCCACTATCGTGACGCCTTCCAGAGACTAACAAGTCCTTAACAGGGCCATTGAAACGGCTAGCAAGATCATAAGTGAAACAACATACCGGCCTCCGCGAACAATATTCCCAGTGAACCAGGTTGGAGATGCCCTGCGACAGATGCAAAAGGGGCAGCACATTGGGAAGATCCTTATTGACATGACTGACAATGAGAGCCAAATGCCATTGCTCCCCGCACAGGCCGGATTTAGCTTTTCGTCTACCTCTTCATATATGCTTGTCGGAGGCTTGAGAGGCATTGGCCGGGCTGTGGTTCGGTGGATGGTGGAACATGAAGCTCGCAACTTCACCTTCCTTTCTCGGTCAGCTGGAAAACATGAAGAAGATCAACAATTTACTAAAGAACTGGAGAGTCAGGGATGTCGTGTGGTGATGGTGGCTGGAAGTGTCACAGATTCAGACACCGTTCAGCGCACAATCCAACAGGCGGAACGCCCAGTTGCTGGTGTTATTCAGATGTCAGCCATATTGAAGGCAAGGATTATTCAATCGGACGCGGCGTCATGAGGTTGCGGATTGCTAACACGGTATCCAGGACCAACTATTTGACAAGATGTCATACGAAGAGTGGACCACGAGTCTGGAAACTAAAGTCCAAGGAACTTGGAACCTTCACAATGCTCTGCAGGACTACTCAGTCGATTTTTTCATTGTCTTTAGCTCCGCAGTAAGCATGATTGGAAACCCAGGACAGGCTAATTACGCCGCTGCAAATTCGTTCTTGGACGGATTTGTACAGTATCGGCGAGGGCTAGGCTTGCCCGCATCATTGGTCAGCCTAGGACCCGTCGACGAAATGGGTCTTATGTCACAGCAGCCGGAACTTTTGTCTAAAGCACGCCAAGTCTCCCACCAGATGATGGGAGAGGGAGATGTGCTAAAGGCGTTCCAGCTGGCTCTGCTCTCGGCAAAAGATGGACTGTCTTCGAGACGCCCAGCAGTAGTGGTCGCAGGGCTCTCCCCGGCCGTTGTGACTAGCGATCCATGGCTCCAACAGGATGCACGATTTTCCAGTCTTCCGAAAGGAACAGACATGTCGAACGCCGGGGGTGTCGACGACGAGCAATTACAGCGGAAATTCGCGTCAGCCAGAGACGACCCGACATCCCTAATCGACGGCTCGTGTGAGGCTCTGATCATCGAGAAGCTTGGGAAGCAGATCGCCATGCATAACGGACTATCCGAGGAAATGGGTGTAGACCAGTATAGTAGCCTTGAGGTAGATTCATTGATGAGCCTCCAGATCAAACATTGGCTGGGCCGTAAGGTGGAGGTGGAGGTTTCGCTTGGAGACATTATGAAAGCGAGAACGGTTGGGAACATCGCAAAGTTAGTCACAGAGTATCTCCGTCTGAGATATGGGGTGAAGGAGAATGAAGGTGCCGCGGTCTAGTCGCGAAGGTCAAGAAACCCGGTGAGAAGATGAAGTATGTATGTGAGGTTTGAATAGGGAATAGGGATCAGCATTTTCTTTTTGCTTTTTTCTTTTTCAGTCAGAGAATTGACAATTAGTAAATGTACCGGGACCCTAAGATCGGTCTCTAATCAGATTCGTGAATATTTACATGCGTTCATTCATCAGACGAAACATCAGAAGAGGATTCCTCCGAATCTTTCGCAACCATCAACTCCATCCGTTCAAATACCCTGATGACATTCTTCTTCTTCGCCTTTACAGCCAAGTCCCGTGCCGTTCGACCACGGTCATCTGGTAGATCCCCGGCTGCTCCGTGACCCAAAAGGAAGTAGACATCCTCTGCTAGCCCGGCCTCTGCTGCCATATGAAGAGCAGTCTGGCCGAACATGTCTCTTGCATGAACATCGGCCCCCCGATTGACCAATAACCTCATAACATTGTTCTCCGACCCAACAGCCTTATGAAGTGGTGTTCGTTGATAGTCATCGCGCATGCTGACGTCCGCTCCATTACGCAGCATATACTCAACCATCTTCCGACGACCCCGTTGCACTGCTTTGTGCAGCGGAGTTTCACCCGAGAAATTAGTAATATTGATGTCCGGGGATTTCTCCAGAAATAACTCAAAGAGACCCCTGCGACCACTGGCTGCCGCAAAGTGTAGTGGTGTATCCCCGTTACCATCCTGTGCTTCGGCATCAGCGCCAGCGTCCAGAAGCATATCCATAATGATATCGTGCTGATGTAGTACTGCACGATGCAGAGCCGTCATGCCGTCCTTCGCGGTGGCTTCTAACAATATTCCATGCTCTAGTGCCAGCTCGGCCAGCTCGACGTCGCCGGCGGCTGCTGCAAGATCCAGGATCGTCTTCCCAGAGGCGTCTTGTGAGTTAATGTCCGCGCCTCTATCGAGCAGCAATTCGAGCATCCGTCTGCCCCTTTTCGTTCGGTCAAAAAGCACCAGTGATATCAGTAGCGACAAACCTGGTTCTCCAGCCGGCGCGTTGATATTCGCCCCCTTCTTTGACAGATACTTGACCACATCGAAGTGGCCCCGACGGCCAGCCTGGTACAAAGGCGTGCCACATTGCTCGTACTTTTCTCCTGCGGAAGGCTGCAGCTCCATATCTGCTCCATACCGAACTAGCAGCCGGACGATACTCAATTGCCCAGACATTGCAGCCCACCACAGCGCAGAACGACCACCGTCATCAACTGCATTGAGGTCTACTCTTCGAGACGCAATCAACAACCGTACTACCTCCTCGGATCCCTTTTCGATTGCCCAAAACAATGGAGGCCTCCCATCCCCGTCCTTCACATCAGGGTCAGCATTAGCCCGGAGCAGCATCTGCATGATGACCTCGTCCCCCGCTTCCACAGCACACGACAGTGGTGCTCGTCCTTCTGGATTCTTCACGTCGGGGTCTGCTTTTGCCTTCAGCAGCATCTGCACAATTATTTCGTTACCCTCTTCGACGGCGCACGACAAGGGTGCTTGTCCTTCTGGATTCTTCTCATTGGGGTCGGCTCCAGCTTTCAGCAGCAATTGCACCATCGTTTCATTTCCTGCTTCGACAGCGCACGATAGTGGCGCTTTCCCTTCCGAACTCTTAAGATTAGGATCTGCTTTCGCTTCCAGCAGTAATTGCACGATGACTTCATTATCAGCCTGCACCGCCGACAACAACGGCGGACACCCATTCGAAGCCACAGCATTGGGATCAGCCCCGGCCTTCAATAGCATTTCAACAAGATCAGAATTGCCTTTCTCTACCGCCGTCGACAACGGGATCATGCCGCCCTCATCTTTCACATTGGGATCTGCCCCCGCTTGCAGCAGTATATTCAGAATCGATGCACTCTCTCGTTCGACCGCATATGCCAATGGTGTCTTCCCTTGAGAGTCCGCAGCATGGCAATCCACCCCGACACCAAGCAATCGAGCCACCACGCTCTCGTGGCCGCCCTCCGCAGCGGCACATATTGCTGACTGGCCGCGCTTAGCGTCCTTTATGTTCGGGTCCACCGCGCCAGTGCCCAGGAGCAACTGGAGGACCTTGTCGTGGCCCTCGGCGGCGGCCCAGAAGAATGGCGTCCGACCTAGTTCATCCTTGCAGTCCAGAGTCACGCCAGGGGTACCTAAGAGAAGCGTGACAATGGTATCATACCCTTTGCTAGCGGCAAGGAACAAGGCAACCTCTAGTTTGTCTTTGGGGCCCGGTGGGGACTCGGATTCGGCCATGATAGCGCGCAACAATTGCAGAGTCGAGTTGAGTAAATGGAAGGGAGATTAAGTCGGGTTGGTTATTGTTAACAGCAGGAATTCCTAAGCTTCACGACCTTATGACATTCTTCATTACAGATGTGACCCAGCGACAAACAAGCCTTTTTTTACCTGCCCACAGCACTGTGTACTGATCGACGAGAGAAATACACGGAAAGAAATGTGCGAACAGACAGACCAGACAATCAGGCAGAACAATCAATGTGCCTTACCGCCGATTTAATAGTTCTAGCACTATCGAGGGGCAAAAAGAAAAGGTGAATGAAACCCACTTAGAACCATGTATGTACCCACTCAGGTACCCGACTAAGTGTATGTATGTGTGTGCGAAGAAGTCCGACAAGGAAGCAAAAGAGAGCAGCAACACAACAAATACAAAATAGAAAAAGAATGAAAGCCCGTGGGCTATCCGACAATTATCAACAAAGACATTACATTACCCTCCTTTCTCCCTTCTTCCAGATTCCCTCCCCATTTCCATCTCTCTTTTCCACCCCCAAAAAGCAACCTCACGACGTAGCACACAAAACCACATATGCCACGTGTATACCATCCACTGGGTGTCTCTCCGTCTCTCCGATTCGAAAATTGGCCACCAACCTAACAGTGACATTCCCTGCTCTTACCTCACAAACCGGGGTTGTGTGGAAACTGCATTTGTCCATCATACTATTATTTTTATTATCATTACCATTATGGCCGGCTGGCTAGGATCGGGGGTGGAAGGGAAGGGAGGGGGTTGGGATGTGGGTAACGTATTGGGTATGGTACTTTTTAAGTTCCCTTCCCGCACTCCATCCAGCCGCTTGATTTGCTGGGGGGGAGGGAAATCCAAAGTTGGGCTGGGCTGGGTTGGGTTGGGCTGCCGGTTACTCCGCGTGGCGTTGCATAGAAGAAACTAGACTAGCTCGGTCATCAGTATTGAGGGAGGAGGTTTCGTGTTTCTTGTGCTACGGTGCGACTGCTTTTATGCTATGGTATCGATCGGGGACCTCTCTTGGGCATAGGAGGGGCGCTTGCTTGCTTGCATGGTTTGGTTTCGGGTAGGTCGAATTCTCCTAGTGCCACGATTGTCTCCCGACTTAAAGATGAACATGTCAACTGTAACTTCTCCACTCCGGATGACGAACCTGATGGGAACAATATTCTCAGCCTTGGGACTGTGTGGATAAATTGGAAAGAAGGTCGTCTACGGCATCTCGTTTGTGCGATTTCGAAAGCAATATTATCTACGAGAACTAAGATGACGCTGCTATTCCTGGTATTGAGCAAGTCGTTGGATAGTACAAACTTGAGACATCCAGAAGGAAGGAATAGGGCAAAGAAAACGGAATTTCATAAGTATATACGATCATATGCATACAACACAACGCCCATGCTATGCAACTTTCATCATTGAACCAATCCGCAAACGCCGCGCCCGCGCTGTGGCCAAGATCATATATAGATAAAATGCTGTCAAAAGGGACTGGCATTGTGGTTGCAGCCAAAATGGTAATAGCGAGCAATGGAATGTCAAGCGAAGAATTCCGGTCTTCCACCAAAATCTTCAGGCTTGCTGATGAGCACCGGTGTAAACGCCCTCAAAGTCCAAGCCGTCCAGCATTCCGTTGACTCGATCAATCTCTCGGGTGAGATCTTCGATGTTCATAGCAAGACTGCTAACCTCATCGAACTTGCGGCGTCTGTTTGCATCCGCAATCATTTCTGATACGAAGAACTTCTGCTCTTCCAGTACGATCAGCCGCTCCCGAAGCGACTTTTCTTCGGCTTCCAGTGCGGAAACCGCGCTGCTGGTGTCACTAGCGAGACTAGCATTGCTGCCACTAGCAGCAAGATTGCCGTATTTTATCGACGCAAGAGCGGATCCCTGCCGTCGAGGGCCACCGAGTGAGCCGTTGCTAGGGCTAGGGCTAGCGGGGGAGCTTGTGGAGTTCGACAGTCCCCCGTTGGGAGATGCATGTTTGAGGACTCTGGGTAAGGATTTGAGAGGGAGCATGTGAAGGTGAAGGAAATTGCTGGCTTGTTGGTATATAGCCTTCTGTAGTCGCTGTTGGGTGGGGGAATCTGTCTGCATATCGCGAACTCGGCGAGCAGCGACGTCATATTGGGCAAACGAATCTGTCAATCGTTTACGGACCTTTGAAGCCTCTGCAATCTGCGCAGAGGATGGAGGCCGCCTGGGATCTCTGGGATAGTTATTGGATGTTAGTGGTCGCTGGATCTTGTTGTGGGCTTATAAATATGAAAGTACATACTGCAAAGCCCCCAGTATTTTCTGAAATTTAGGGAGCAAAATCCGAATGCCTCTCTCGAACTGGGTGAGATTTTCATATGCTCGCACAGCCGGCGGCTTCCTCATAATGTCGGCTTCGAAGTCTCGCCGGTCGAATAAGGTCGAACGGCACTCCTTACAGAGTCTGATATCGACGTTAATCACGCCCGTGCGGGGCGACTTCTCTGCTGGTGTTTTTGCAACTATGTCCAGTCAATAACCGAAAGATAGGTAGTTTCGCAGATCTGACATACGGGGTGAAATGCTCAAAGGGACCTCCGTGGAACATGCAGTTGCTGGATCACCACATACGACTCGCCCGCAAGTCCTGCAGTGGTGTCTTCTAAAAGTGTAGCTGGTAAAGTCTTGCTGGCAGAACGGACACCGGGACACACTTGAGTCATCCTGCCAACTCACTATAGTTTGCTCAAGGGCTTTTCGTTGATCACCCTGCCATGAGATTGACCACAATTTATTCGTGCTCGACTGAATCTGCTCTGCAG